ATGTAACTGGTCGAATTTCACACGATATTTTATTTAATCGTACGCATATCGCCGTGCGATAAGACATGCGTCACAACAGCCTACATCTACGCATTGTATATTTTGGATCGCCACGCGTTGCATTTCTACGTGTTATACGCCACGAGTATCGACAAACTTGTCCTTGAAAGAATCTTTCGATAATAAAGATCCAATCGATTTTTAATAGAATCAGTGTAATAGTTTACCATTTGCTCAATGAATTTCACCTTTAACGAGCAACAAGCTTCTGGCCGTGATATGCAGATTCACAGCCTGCCGAAAGATTTCAATGGTAAACGATGCATTAAGGGAACTGGTCGTTTCAAGTAAATGACACGGAGGTGACCAAGTTGGCCGGCAGCAGATTAACGCAAATGCGGACGTGACGTAGTTACGTGTACACCGGCAAACTAGTCGTTCTCTATGCACGATCCGTCGCTTCTGGCACAACCTTAATCGACGATGTTCTTTTTTTCTCGTCCTCAACAATGTATCCTTTTCCCCCAACTATATCGCTTTGAGAAAGCGTCGTCTGTTCGCAAGTGTTCCATCCTGTTTCAAGGTGCTTTCCGCCGGATATCGTTATTACTATTTACCGAAATTCCTTGGCACGGTGCGCTTTTCTATTTATTGAAGATGACTCGACGTGTGCTACGACGAAAGGTCAAAAACCTGCAACTTGCATGGTTTCGGGAAAGCAGATTCGAACAGCCGCAACGACCTACCAGAATCGATAATGAAGTTGTTCAGTCATGTAACAGAATGATCATATAACGTTCAATCGAAAAAAGTAGATTACTTGATCCTTTGCTTGGGTCACGTTTTGCGCTCAGAACTATTTTTGTATGCAATCGAAGATTCAAGGTCGATGTTCATTGGAATCATAGATTCTGTGCCAATTATGTATTTTACGAACCTATAATTTACCTGGAAGAAAAATACAACTAAATTATTTCGAATTTCGTGCCAATTACTCTTGCTACGAGCTTCTTTATCTTAATGATCGATAATTTTTTCTTTTTCGTTACAGCCATGTCATATAACACATCTACACTATTGAGGCACGTCGTCCATTTTGTTTTCTACAATATAATTTTAACAATGAAACATTTTAATTTTCAAGGGTTGAGAGATACTGATGAGCACAGTTCAATGTCCCCCTACCTGTTCCTGTACTTAAACATTACGTCGTAACACGTTTCCCTATGCTGCATAATAAAAGCGTGATTATGCCAATCAGGGTAGAAAGGTTAAAAATGTCTTGTGGCTATTTTTAGAACACCGCATTGTAATCCATCTTTTGAAAATTAAACACTGATTAAAATTACAGCGAATTGTATTACGTTATTTTTATTACGTATTAACACTTCGTAAAAACAATGTTTGACTGTTATTAAGACACGCACAACTTTCTCTGCATACAGTGATTTATAGCAAATAACGATATTCAAGTCTAAATCGAATGGTGACATCAGTCTCGATTTGCACACGATTCCTCTAACGACTATCGATAATCATTAAAAGCATCGACTGTTGATCGGATTACCGGTTACCGTTATAGCTGTAAATGCTTTGAAACTATACTTCTATGTTTCTAAACGTATAGTGATAACTTCCTACGGTTATTACTTCTTTCACGATACAATGTAATAAAGTAACAGAAAGAAGATTCAATTTATATTGAGATGTTTCTATCGACTATCGATAATCTTGAATAGCATCGACTGCCGGTCTGATTCGCGGTTACCGTTACTACTGTAAACTATGCAATGATAGCTTTCAGTTATTTATTTTTCATGCTACAAATTAGCAGCGAAAAAGAGTAATCAAGCGATAGCTTAAAAAAATTAAATACCACAATGGATCCTTTCCATCCATTTCTCGATGAATAACCTAAATTTCCCGGGACACTGAACGCATCTTGAACATGACTGAATAAACATCAGTTACAATAGATTTCTATTTCATGGTACTCGTTCAAACGTAAGAAGCGTCATTTTTATTTATGCGTGAAAAAATCACAGAATGCTATGTCAATTCTATACAATGACAACCGAAATGTTGACAATCAACATTCGATATCACGTGATCGTAACAATCGAAAACAATCGACAATAAGTAGAATAAAGGCGCGTATTGTATGTCGCGTTAGATAGAGGTTAAGTTAGATTAGTAGAACATTTTAGTATGAGATTATTCTAATGCACAAATATTGTTTAACTGAAGAAATAGGTGTCGTCAAATACACAATCCGGAAGAAGCAATCGAAACGACACTAATTCATTAATTTATGCTGAAGACGCGCACACGCCCAAACCCGGTAACGATGACGTAACTGTAAACACAACGCCGTGAAAGTCGAAGGAAATTGCTTGATCGAAGAAAGGTTCATTAAATAAATGCCACAATACATGTATCCCAGTGACAATAACGTTACATATTTACAATTTCTATTTTCTTTACCGGAAGTTAGGGCGACTCGATATTTGTCTCGAACCTGTCATCGCAAACGTAACTAATGAAGCACTAAATATAACCTTAATATTCAATGTACAACATTAGTTTCTTTGCATTAAACGAAAAATTTTGCTGTTATACATATATTAACCGTACTTGACGAAAAATTTATGACAGGTTACGATCAACTCGACGGTTTTTGATAATGACTCAGCACCGAATTCACTATCATGACGAAATCATTTATACTGAACAGACTTGGCAATTTGTAAGATAGTCACCAATTTAAAAAACTATATGACATGATTAGATCATTATTATTAATGCATAGAAAGGAAGTATAAATAAAAACAATTATTCATCATTATTTTACACAATAAAAGTATTTTCAGATATAAATTCATTTTTCTTAGAACGAAAAAGATGATATATATAATTATTTCAATTATTAAAGTAATTAAATAACCATTTTGTAGTAGTATCACGATGAACGATAACAATGTACTTACTACCTATAAGCGATTAGATTATCGCTCGTATAACAGTTCCAAGAAATTGTCTTTTAACGTGAAAACACAATAAAATTCTGGCAACTAAGAAATAGTACTGCTATTCGTATCATATTTATACAAATAACATCATCTCAAAAATCTTTTCTCCTCACGTCAAGTATCGTATTTATAAAATTGTATGATCATTTTTTAGGTCACCAATAAAACGAGAAAACGAGAAAACGTTCAGTGTTCTTATATCCGAACAAACAACGTTACTATAATGCAGATTTTTAGTGGAGAACAAAATTAGGTCACCGACAGATAGGGCGTCTTGACAGGTGAACAAAACCATTCAGGGGACACCATGTAGCGGAAATTAAAGCGCTATAAATGAACGTGTAACCGAAAGCTCATCTACAAGCTTACTCGAAAAGGAAAACCAGAGTGATGAAATGTAAAAAGTAAAAATTTGTTGAATCATAACACCATTTACGAACAATTATATTAACAATGTAAAATGAAAAACCTACTTGAATAGTACAGCGATTACGTTTGTCGACCAGAATCGATGCCGCACTCATCGAAAGATATAGCAAGAAATGAATCAAAAATGATAAGTGACAAATAGTATCACGTATCATTCGAAACGCGAATAAACATTGACAAAAATACGTATAACGATATGCAATATAACGGTTGAAAAGTATGAAGAAATCGGAAAGCTAAGGCGGCACACGCCATTTTTATCCGTAAAGTCTCAGCCGTCACGAGACGACCGATCATAAAACTCAATCGTTTTCGTATTTTCGAAATGAAACGAAAGAAAACTGTACACTTACCTTGTCGTAAGGATACCCTGCGACACCGTTTTATCCCAGTACTCGCATAAAAACCAATCGAAGTACACCAAAAACCACCGATAACGATCCACACAAACCCATCCACACAGTCGACCGGCGCGCAACTGACTGAGCGCATACGGCGTCGACCTACGCCAGCGTAGCTAGTCCCAATTCCAATCAACCAATCAGAATTGGGCGTACGTATTATGAATATCCGCAACAACCAATATTATTGTAACATTTAAAATTAATATTTTTATGAACAAACGAGCATCAGTATGTTTGTTTATTATTAACAATATTTGAATAAATAAATTTTTATTATTGAATGAGTGCTATGCATTGTCCATGAAAATACGTCTTTATTAATTTTCACTATCATGTTCTCTTAGATACACTTACGTATTTGTTATTATTAATATTATTAATGAAATGATTAAAAAATTATAGTAAAATAAATATTTGCATTGTACAATATGATTAAAACAACGAAAAATTATTTTGTTATATTTTTCTGTCTTTTATAAAAATATAAATAACGACTTCGTAATTATTAAGGTTAATACAATTTTGTTAATAATTTTAAATAAATTAATGTAGAAATGAACTAGTTTTTCTCTTTATCATAAAATTTGAATAGCAATATTTGTATGCGTTTAGGGCTACACTCGTATCACGTATCAGTATCGCATCGGACTCATAACAGCCGGCGTAGGAATACATAACTTGTGACATCACCAGTCCCGTTTACCCATATTCTGGACCGGTCACGCCCCATCCTCTCTATTACATATTATTACGAAAATTGAAACAAGTACTATAAAATTACAGAAAAAAAGTATATCGATTATTTAAAATAGTAAAAACGAAGAAAAATGCTCAAAATATGTCACACAAAGCGCATGTATTATTTAAATATGTATTCATATTCTTATAAATGCTTTTTGAATAATTAAAACGGGAAAATTAAAAATTATATATATTTTCAATTATCGTTTTAAAAATATAAATTATTCACGTTACAAATAACTAAAAATTATATATGGATACGTGTAATACATACATACACGTGCGTATAAAAATAAAGGAACTTAAGCACCCTTAGTCCCTTCATTAAAAAATAGAATTTTAAATGAAATATTAACGATCAACGATAAACTTAAGAGTAGATCACAGTAAATTCATGTAGGAAGGCAAATGGAAAATGTGTACATTTATATACATAGCATGAGCAGAGGTACAGCAGAGTGTACATTTTACATTGCTTAACAAATAGTATAATAAATATATCTGAACTATATGCAACTTATCCTTTACGATCTTGACACGAGTAATGTACAATATCACCGTTTGGATACCTCGCAAATGCACTAAAAAATAATTTATATTACATTTTTATCATATAGTAATAAATCTACACTGCTCATATAAAGTATAAATACAAACCTCTGATTACTAAATCTTTTTTTACATACTGGACATATATTAAATTCCGTCATAAGAACACTCTGTGATTCGTAATGCATTCGTTGCTCTTGTACTTGTAAATGTTCAGCATATAATAATCCTTTTAAGACTTGTATCTTCCTCCTAGCATTTAATTTCTCTTGTAAGCTGACTTCTAAAAAGTGTTTGATTCTACCTATAGGAACTGTATCTGGCAGAACCTCTATTGCTTTCAATGGATTTATTTTTGATGCATGTTTTTCAAGTATCTGAAGGGCCATTTCTAAGTCAGGTTGTGGTGTTCTTTGAATTTCTGGATTACGTCCTAAAATAACATTATTTTAAGTATAATATCATTTATTACTTCAAATCACTGAATTACCACTTGTATTAAAATTCTACCTGTCATCAAAAATCCTTCATTATCAGGTTTTAACAGTTGTTGAATAAGCAAGACATAAACCTCATCTGCTCCATCAGATTGTTTTTGCTTATCTACACTGTCTTGCTCTTAAAATGACAAGATGATAATTGTATATATTTATAAACGATTGCTTTCAATATTCATGTTAATACGTACTTTGATACCTAGCATGCACACTGTTGCAATATTCAATGGCTTTTGCTGTGTCATTAAGGAGACCGACGTAAATAGATATTACTTGTTGATGGTGTCCTAGTCGTCCAAGAATGATTGCCCGTTCCTCGAACAAATTATCGAAGGGGAAATGTACTAATATCGTTTCTGGAGTATAATGCACAGATTTCTCCAAAAATTGCTGTAATTTCTGTCTAATATGCTGTGCAGTTTGTTTTTCGGCTGGCGTTGCATTTTCGCTCATGGATGTTAAACATTTTTCTTTATACTGATGTATTAAAACATTATGATACAATGGATTAGTGTCTTCCCAGACGTGTACAACATGTTCTAAGTATGTTATAACTAAATCTTTGTGACAACGGAGAAGATAGTCTAATACTTTTGGTCTTGGTAATTGTTCAACTTCCTATAATTACAAACATGTTATGTGTGTAACTTGTATGAGAATAATAGTAATTATATAAAAGATTTCGTATCGCATATTACTTGTATATCTTCCATAAAAATTCTAATCCCTTGTTCTGGATCTTCATTCAAGACCCACCCAGCAAATTTTAAAATTAAATCCATATGGTCTTTTCCAAGATGTTGCAAGTATTGTATTGTTCTTTCAGTACCCTTTAAACTAGAATCATTCTCCTTCGCATGTTTTTCCAGAAGTTCTAATGCTTTTTTATGTTGTCCTTTAGTCTGATACAGTATGATAAGCTCAGGATATTTTTGATGCATTAACAGAGTTTTCTCAGCTTCTGCTAAATGACAATGATTCAATCTAAGTAATGGTGCTATTAATGCATCAGTAGTCTGAAAGAAAAAACGTATTAAAAAATATTCTTTAGCTCATAACTATTTATCATTTGTAGCAAATTTTTACCTGTACATAACATTTTAACAAAGTTGTGTCTATAATTTTTAAAAGTTGTTCTGTAGCCACTGCTGTCATATTTTTCTCTCCTTCGATTACACTTTTTTCTTTATTGTTATCTTTATCTTTCTCCTTTGATTTTGAATCACCAAGCAATTTACGCTTAACTTCAGTAAGGAAAACTATCAATGCACGCAAACCCTTTTCTAAATCATGATCTTGTAATTTGGGAAAAGTAGGATCACTTGCTTCTGAATTATTACTTGAAGGAGTAACCAGATCAGGAAACAATGTAATTACTTCATATGGATCTGTTCCTATTTTTAAAAATAAATCCATTGCATCTTGAAATCTTTTATTACGAAAGAGATGATGAGCATATAATGTTTGGATTTTATATGTTTGTTTAACTTTCTCTTCTTCAGATATATCTGATAAACTCTAAAATATTATAAAACATATTTTAACGAATTTATAATTATTATTAACAACAATTAATTGTCTTACAAACTCAAAAGTATTATTTACATACAGTTAGTTTCAGTGCCAACTGAAATTGAGCTTGTTCAAGTAGTGTTCTAATTTGGTGTGTTACATCAATTGCTTTGACACACCAAATATGACTAATTGATGCTACAAACACCTTTCCCTGCTTACATCTATATATTAATCTAGCTTTGTTCAAATCCTTTATTGTTTGAATATGTATACAACCCTCTGTAGTGTAAATTTCTAACTTGTCATGTACAATTCCAAGTAGATAAGGATCATCCCATGCTAAAATAATTCAATCTATATGACACTAAGATAATTAGAAAAAATATATAACAATTTAATAATACATTTATAAATTCTATACCTATTGCACTTGGTGTATCAGACCATTTTAATGGATTATGTTGGATCAATTCCCCAGTTGTATCCATAATGAAAGATTGAGAATCTTTTCCTAATACAAAGGAATTATCAGACAGTTTGGTAATGCTTGGTTCAGGAGACTTGCCTGTTGGAAATAACTCTTTGGGTTTTCCATTTAAATCCAAAATTGTATATGATAATCCACGGAAACCCAAAATTAATGCCTCACCACACCTTTATTTAACATAAAACACATTTTGCAATGAAAATAAATAATTCATTTTACATCATATATATTATACATACCAAGACAGTTCACGTGGTATATCTGATACAGAAAGTTCAAAGTTTTTATATTCTTCAAACTTCTTTTCTCTCCAAGAATATAATTGTAGTTTACGTTTTACAGCAACACATAAACGTACAATTGTATTTTTTTCACCAATTGTACTTGTTTGTACATCTAAAGTAAATAGGGTAGCACCTCGAGTTTTTTGTAATTGAGAAATTTGTTGAAAATTTGGTGAATTTAAATCATGAATGCATATAATATTATCTATAAAAGAAAAGGATCATCAGAATGCTTGTCTCGGTAGAAACTAAAACATAAAAATGAGAGTACCTGTTAAAATTATTAATAAATTATGCTCTGGCACAACATCTATTTGATTGATACGTTTTTTGTTAAAATTTTTGCTATGACGTAGTAATTCCAATTTATAATTATCATCTGATATAGAAGGTACATTATACATAAGTAGATGACCTTCTCTAGTACCAATTAATAAATTGTCATCTAAAATGAAACATCTCATTGTTATTATATGCTCACACACTATTAATCCTATAGTTACCAAAACATCTAAATTGATTAAAACATAAAGAAGAAGCAGTATGAAAGCTGTAAATAACTTTAAAATTAAAGTACTTCAATTAATCAAAATTATAATAACACTTTTAACATAGAGGTTACATATCACTTACCATATGCAGCCATAGATTCTATTTGTACAGAAATATTTAATATTGACGTTTCTTTGTACGCATCATGCATTTTGATCTTAAAACAATAAAATTTTTGTCAATTATTTTTCAAAAAATTGAATAATGTCTTTATCATCAACAATTACTCACAGCTCCTATCAGAAACGTTTGACAACCAACAGTTTAACGCGTTTACTGTACAGTGGGGAGTACAATAAACTACACTATAGAGAGTCCAAATCTCACCGATATCGTAATATATTTTTCATATTTTACACGTCCACGTTTTACTATGCTACTTCGAGATTACTATTTATCTGTATTATGCAAAATAGGAAGTGAAATACTATCTTGAAAAGATGTCAAATTCGCTTGTACGTAAAGGACTTGAGTTATTAGGTTACGAGAAGAAAATAAAACGAGGTTTGTGTTTTATTTACGTAAGGAAATTATATTTATGTGTTCATAAATTATACGAATCTTCTCAACTTGTAGAAAAGAAGAAAAGAAAACATACAAATTATAAAGGTGCACTAGATCTAATTCCTGCGAAACACAGAATATTATCAGGGAACGATAAGTCAGGTATATTTGGTTAGATTAAAATGATTATACTATTCATTATTCAATAGTCAATAAATTATAAACATTTTCGCAGCTCTTGGTACAATTCTTGGCCGATCAAGCAAAGTGACCGTTTATGAAACACAGAAAAAGTTGGCAACACAAGAAGATCCAACAGACGAAAATGTACAAAGACTTTTAATGCTAAGTAGGAACCATATTGATGAAAAGACAATAAATAAGGTATCAACTACATTTACATCAAATAATTTTTACAACAAACATTATATTAATTGAAAGCTTGTTTACAGTTAATTGATCGAGCTGTGAAGAAAAGATATATTCCAAAACCACAGAAACCTAAAGAACCTGAAACTACAGCATTTACTGAAGAAGATTTCAAGAAATTTGAAAAAGAATATGTAGATCAGTAATGTTTAATTCAATATTTAAATACTTTTAAGTTAACTAGTGAAAATTATTAAAACATTTGTGAAGGTCTAAAATGAATATTTAAAATTGTACTTTATTTTTTTGTTGCTAAAAAATGATCATTATTCATAAAAATGAACTTTTTACTATACATGTAATGCAGTAGGAATTATAAATTTAAAATGTTTAATAGTGATCATAAGACAGGTAAAGCAATACTGATTGTGACCATTATTTTATTTCTCTATTACACTATATGGGTGATAGCTTTACCATTTATTGACGATATTAAAATACGATCACTTTTTGCTTCTCATAACATTGCATTGATGGTGCCTGCAATTTTGGGACTATGTTTCATTGGCGGATTGATATTATTTACTACTTATCATGTTAAACCATACTTTTCATATGACAAATTAAGTAAACATCATGAATTATAAGTTTTGTACAGAGTGTAGATGTAAATAAAAAAACTTAATTGTATCTTACAAACATTTCTGACATGCTATATGTAAATGAATCTGCTGACATTTCTTAACTAAGCAATGGATTTTGAAATCAACATCACTTATGTAATTATATAAAGTTACGTGTATCATATATGCATGTGTATATACTACCACAAGTTAACCTATTTCAGCTATAATAGAAATAACAGTGTCAGTACAATACTCGAAATGTCTTTAAAGAAATGGTTCATAATTGGTATATCGGGAGCAACATGTAGTGGTAAAACTTCCGTGACTAATCGACTTCGTGAAGAATTAAAGAATTCAGTCACAATAAACCAAGATACTTATTTCTGGCCGATAGATGATCCACGGCACACAAAAATACCTGAACTTAATCATTTAAATTGGGAAATAATGTCTAGCATGGACATGGACAAAATGCGATCTGATATTTTTAAATTAATTGAATCTCCATTAAGTGAAGATAATGTAACGGGAAGAAATTGTAAAAATATTCTGATCTTAGATGGTTATTTGCTCTTTAAGTGTAAGGTTATTACGAATTTATGTGATATGAAGTATTTTTTAACAGTACCCAAAGAAATTTGTTGGGAAAGAAGGGACAAAAGAGATTATGAGCCACGAGATGTTCCCGGATACTTCGAAAAATATGTATGGCCAGAATATTTGAAATACAAAAATGAAATAATGGAAGATCAAAATTTATGCAAAACTATAACATTCATTGATGGATCAAAAGATACAGAAGAAATATTTCGAACGATGTATGCACAAATAAAAGAAAAATTATCTTGATGTTTTAATCATTATTATAAGTTAAAACGTAGTTAAACATTAGTTTAAAAAAAAATTTGCTATACATTCCAAAATGTTTAATAAAATATTTAATTAAAATAACATGTTTTTTATAATATAAATTTCAAACATTCCTTGGCTAAGTTTAGGGTCAACCAATTACATCAATTTTGTATAATAAATTTTTTATATAAATGGTCACTTCTGGTTTTATTATAAAATGCATAGTGTACTTACCTGGTACAATTGTGTATTGAGCATTTTTTTATAAATCATAAGTAAACATGTTTTCTTATTCTTTTTTTTCGTTTCAGCGATAAATATATGTACATATGTCATTATCATATTATTAATAACGAACCCGATTTCATGAACTTCTTTGAAAATGCCCATGCATGAAACAAATATAATTTACTTATTGTTTATGTTATAAATGTAATAATTTTGCAGTTATTTATCACAATATTCTAGCTACACATATACAATTTGTTCTCACAATACGTGTAAAGCCTGTTTCAGATGCTAAATAATCATTAAATAAACAATTTTAAATTTCATTCTATATGCATAATGTATTTAGTACAAAAATTAATTGTATAAGGCTTAGAAAATAAAGCACATTTGAGTTTGTAACTCTTTTATGGATACGATTTATAGCTCACAACTTATCAATCAGTATTTGCTATTAGAGATTCGAAAAACGATACTGCTAATTTTTAAATAGTTTTTCGTTGTTTTTTTTTCAATATCACTTATGTAATAATAATAATAATATTTACTTTATACAAAATAGATAATGTTTAGCCAAATGTTTGGATTTCTATCCTCATCCAAAACAGGCTTTTGAGTGACTGAATCTTCATTTTTAACAAGATTTTTTCATTCATTTTCTTTTTTTAATAAAGATAACGCACAACGACGTGTATATGTTACATGGAATACGTGTTATGTTTAGGTTGACCTTGCACATTTGTTACATTTGTTGGAGCAGGTCCAGCTGTTTGATCATCTTGATCATTTTGTCCACAAACTTTCCGAATGTATTGGGGTGTAAGAATAACTTCTTCTTCCATTTCAACTACCCGCTTGTCTAACTCCATGCATGCTGCCATTTCTTTTTCGAGTTTGGCCAACATTTGTGGTGAATTATATTTTTCTGGATCATCATGAAATACTACCATCCCATCTTTTTGATTAATTGTTGCAAAAATTTCTCCATCTTCAATCTGAATTTATATGCAATGTTTGTGTATATCAGTTAAATACATTCATATTAAACATTATGTTTAAAGGGAGATACTTACCATATTTAATATATATTTTTCTGCATCAGCAGGTCCTGCTAATTGAACTCTACTTGCAACATCACTTAAACTAAGAGTCAAAAAAGTCTTTGTCAACCTTTGTATATTTTTCTTATATAAATAGCTGAGTACTTGTTTTACAAGGCCCATATTGTGATCTCTTGTAAAAAGTTGTTGGTATTTAGTAATAATATTTTGAACCTCTTCACAGCTATTCATCTGATAAGCTGTAGCCAACCCTTGATATTGCTGACTCAATGGTTTCATGTACCTATTAACCACTTGGCTTGTGTACCTAGGCAAGTTCAAAACTTTTCCATGCAATATTAAAGAAACCAAAATATATTTCTTGTAGGCTTCCAACATTATGTAACTAACTGCCATAGCAGGTGTTGTTACACACACTTCAAAAAAGTATAATGCTCTGTCATAGTTTTTTAGTGCTGTGTATATCATACCACCATAATAATAATAAAGTAAAAAGTATTTTGGATCAAACTGTCCCTCTTCTTGACTGATATCAGTGACATCAATGTCAAGAAATTCAAGTGCTGGTTTGAAACATTTAGACAAAAGACATAGTTGACAAAGATCAGCATGTATTGAAGTAAGCTGGCTATCAAAGAGTTGTATTTTACGTATTGCACGACGCAATAATTCAATACCTCGTAATGGTATTTTTAATTCAATCAATGTTTGACTAAAAAAATGACATAGTTCTGCATCTACAACACAGAAATGATTCATGTTAAACAAATTATTTTTGATAAATAAATTAAAAATAAGAAAAAAATAACTTACATATATCTGGAGCAAATCTAACTTGTTCACCATTACAACCAATGATAAATTCTTGAACTTGATTAAATAGTGGTTTATAAGCATCAACATTATTTGGACCATTGGGATTAGGTAATGAAAATTTTACACATAACACTGCCAAAATCCCTAATGAATGTTCTTGTAGATCCAGTGTTTCCAAAACATTATCTAGGTGTGGTCCATTCTTAATTAAGACATCTGTACTTTTAGTTATTATCTCTGTTAGCTCACGAAAGTTACCTATAAATCATGATACAATTGAATACTGTTTTTCAACAATGTTTATTTGTAATATTAGAATCCCTTATAAGTAACAAAAAGACATGTTGATACACACATCTAAGATTCAACCATCGGTACACCTAATATAGAAACTGAACATCATTGAAATGATTTGAATTAAATCAAATGTGAAAATCATTCAGCATTATACTACAAATACATTATCAACAAAGATGTTAGTTCATTGAAGGAGAGATCATTTCGAAACAATGCAATACATTAATAATCTTTTGAGATCCTTTTTAGAGGTTATGCCATAAAACTAGAGAAGATCCAAACATCTGTCGTACCTTGCTTCGAAAGCGTCCGCACGTTATTTACAAACTGCTCCAATGCTGACGCCATTACTGCAAATGTCTTTTTCTCATCACCACCTTTGATCAGTGGTGAATCGTATTTACAGAAATTATTATCGCGAACAAACGATGACCAAAGATGACGTTTTGAAACAGGTAACCGGAATGCTCTGAAGCATGTTACGTTACGAGAATAGCCGGTTACATTTAACTCCCTCTAGTATATTGCCACCAAGTGATTATTTAAATAGCAATATTGTACGGAAAGTAACTCTTTCCTGAAAATTGGATGAATTCAAGTTTATGTTGTATCGCTAATAACAATAGTTACTACTTATTAATACTTTCAGCAATAATTTTGCATTTGAAAGTGTTAGCAATATATTTACGTACATACATTCATTTGTTTGTAAAAAAGAGAACATCAGCCTAGTGGTTTAAAATATCGAATGTTTAAATTTTCTTAAATGTTTAAATCCACTGAGCGCAATAAAGATATATAAAGAATATGTTTATTTTTATTAATCTTATCATTTAGTACAGCAAAAACTCATCACAATTTCTTATTAATTCGATTGATGTTTGGTTGCTAGGATATTTTAAAGATTTCTAACAATTCGAAAGTCGAATTGAAGCCAGTATTTCTCTATATTATTACTTATTATTCTTGCTTTAATTTGATATAGACAAAATATTTAAAGTGGTATAACTATGTCTAGCACAATGTACGATGATCTTTGGAAAAACACGCAAATTATGTTAGACGATGTTCTTGAAGTAGACACAACTTTGCAAAATGCTAAACCTCAAAAGGATCGTAAAAAAGCTCATGATATAGTCTCAGAATTATACGTAAGATATATAATTATCTGTAATCAATTGGAATTGTGTTACGATCAAATAATACAACCGCAAAAACGAGTATTAATAAAACAATTGTTAGATTCCTGTCTTGGAAGAATTTTGGAACTAAAGCACGAATTAGTGGAAATAGATCTTTCTGAATATAACTATTTCGATGATATTCTAATAAAATTGAATGTTACACCGAATGAAATTGAAATTCAAATACCAAGATATTTTAAGCGGGAAAATTTGAGAGAGATAGAAGACAAACGAAAGTTCATAGAAAATACTCTAAGAAATATAGGTGCTTTAGATGAATTAGTATCGTCGAAACAGATGACTGAGTCTGAAGCTATAAGACTTATACAGGTATAAATTTAGAGATAAAATGCTTCTGTTTCTGACAATTATACTAAGCAAGCCAAAATATTTTAGGCTCACGAACGTGCAAGACAGGGTCGAATAAGATTTCAATTTATGAAAGAAATTCGTCGGATGAAAGAAAAATCTATGATTAAAACGGAAGCTGAGGTACACGACGAATTAAGTAAAACTGTGGCTATAATAAAAATTCAGAAAGTTTGGAGAGGATATATTACTAGACAAAAGATTCGAAAAAAACGTCTGGAGGAGATGTTATTAATTGGTAATTACTATTTCTTTTTGATTCATCTTCAATTTTAGTCCCTCATTAACAACGAAATAAATGTAATTTTTTATTATCTTCCAATACAAAAGACAGCTACAAACATTTGTTACTCTTAAAGGTATGCTGCAACCAAGTCAAATAGTTACTGAAAATGCTAGGCAAGCTGAAAAAACCAGACAAGAGAGATATGATAAACAAATTAAATATCAACAGCTTTATGAAAATTTGATGATTGAAATTAAGGAAAGAATCCGTAAAGAACAAAGTGCTATAATAGAAGAAAATATAAGGAGTGAGGTTCGCAAATGGTTAAACACATACTTTCAGCAAACAGGAAAAATTCCAGATTTGCCACCTGTTGAAAGTGGTGGATCTAGAATTATATTTAGTAGACAGGTGAAGTTAATATTTGTGCTTGTATTGTATATAGAATATTTTGAAGTTAGATAATTACATAAGTTTCTGTATAGGGAACTGAAAGCACTATTAGTAAATCAACAGCAATGTCATCAAAGGAGTCTAAGAAATCTAAAAAGTCAAAATCAAAAAAGGATAGCGAAGGTGAACAATCAGATGAAGAGACTGAACAAGGTTTTAAATCGGTACCTTCCAATTTTTTGTCAGAATTGGTACAAGCCAGCCGAGAATATCAAGAAGTATGGAAAAATAAAGATGAATCTGTAAATGTAGCTCAATTTCCATATATAAATATGATAGAAAATGATAAAACTAAGGAAGTTGAAAATGAAGTTCGAATCACAGTAGATCAAGATCTTAGAGGTAAGATTTGAAATAAGAATGATGATAATAAGTAGGCTTTTAAAAATTGATTTTTATTTGAAGGTGATATAGAAGCCCTGCAAAATGCATTAGACAGAGACAAAGGTTTTAAAGGCAAACGTGCAAAAAAAACACAAAAACGAATTCGCCGCAGTGGTAAGAAAAATAAAAAAAGAAAAGAAAAAGATCTCACTCCTGACAGAACAACAGATTCATTGTTTGAAGAGCTACTGACTCAAGGTATCATTAAACTTCATAGAGAAATTTCACTCCATGATTTCAAAGGAGAAAAGTCTTTTATAAACTACAATCTAAGAGAAAAAGGGAAAGATCCTTTGCCAGCACTTGGTTAAGTATTTTGCATTAATTTAAACAAAATCATTCAACTTCTGCATTAATAGAAAAAAATTAATTACATTAACAGGAGATATAAGACAGTTAATAGCTGAGTACTGTATCCTTCCATTGGGAAACAGTACCCTTAGAGAATTGACACCTCTTGTAAGATCAGTGTTAATAGCTGGACCACATGGTAGTGGAAAAAAAATGTTAGTAAATGCAATTTGTACGGAACTCGGAGCTACTTTATTTGATATTACACCTTCTAATATTGCTGGCAAATATCCTGGGAAATCAGGCTTAATTATGCTTATTCACTTAATATCAAAGGTATCTTACAAAATGAATAGAAAAATTAATCAGTTAGATTATTTAACAGGGTTATCATAGTACATAATAGCCAGTATTAATTATATATACTGTAATTTATTATAATTAAGTATTAACAATACATGCCTATTTTCTTATAAAGATGTCACGTTTACTGCAACCATCAGTAATATTTATAGATGGTGCAGAAAAACCATTTGTAAAAAAAGTTTCAAAGACTGACAAAACAGATCCAAAGCGTTTAAAGAAAGATCTTGTGAAATTAGTAAAAAACATTACAAATGAAGATAGAGTAATACTAATTGGAACTTCAAGTTCACCATGGGATGGAGATCAAAAGCTTTTATATCAAACTTATGATAAAGTTATATACATTCCTAGACCAGATTATGGAACTGTGTCTCTTATATGGAAAGATTTATTATATAAAGTATGATTTTATTGATCAATACAATGAATTAAATATTTTTTGAAAAATATTTATTTCATATTTCTTTTCATACTTGCATAGTATTCTGGAATTAATAGACAATTTGATACATCTGTTATGGCTAAAATTTGCGACGGATTTACTATTGGAGCTATATTAACATCGATTAAAGAGGTATTATTAGTATAATAATTACTATAATAAAATATTTGTTATTTATAAACTTTCTGATAATTTTTTTGTTTTTATAATTACATGCACTAAAATATAGGTAATGACGACAAAGCGCATAGTGCAATTAAAAATGCATCCCTTGACGTACGGTGAATTAATAAATGCAATAAGCATGAAAAACCCGATTTATTGCGAAGAGGAAGATACATTTTTAGGTTTACTTCTATTTTTATATTTAATAAACTAATGTTATCTAAGTATAGAACTCTGAAGCATATTTATTATCAATTACAGCATGGCTTGCAAAAACACCAATATATCGTAAAAAGCAACGGGTGCATGAATTAGAGCTCCAAAAACTGGAAGAAGCAAGTGAAAAGCAAAAGAAAAAAGGAAAAAAACCGCCGCGAATACAATCGCTCGCTCATTCTGAAAAAAATACATGATTTGTAGATATTACGTTATAGCGAATATTATACATATAAATTTTACACGATAATATATCTACGTCCTATTATGAATTTTATTCATTATTATGTTATATATATCTTACAACGAATCGCACGAAATTTTTTTAAAACATATTAAATAAATTCATTTGACTTAATTTCTGACGTTGATATATGAATGCTCATAATATTGCATCTAAAACCATTTTACGTAAGTAATATTGGACGTAGCGTGACCATGTTTACGTTCAAGATCAAAGTTCCAAGAATCGGAAAAACAGTCTTTGTTTAATTAAAAAAAATTGCTTATACAAAAGTTTGGCTGGAACGCTTACTGATAAGATACGTATTTTATGCTACTTATTGTAGCCATCAATACTATATTTTCAATAAAAATAACATTTCCATACATATGTTAAAATGCTCGGTCGTGTATATCTATTCAGGCGCCTGTGCTTGCACATGATCATATATTCATATGATTTAATATACATATTTCTTAACAAGCGTATAAGATATAAAAAACATATCTATTTAATCGAAAATATTGTTACTCATTAATTTTAATTACTACAGTATAAACATTTAATAATTATCGGAGGCATGTTTCATATGATCAATTTTTCCACATGAATTAATGCGCGTGTGAGATTCCATGACCGTATGTTAATCTTACTTTATAATTTGTCAAATACGTGCGAATATTTTATCATTACGGAAAACATAGTAGGAAAACAAATATAACATCAATATCTAGATGAATCCAACTCAGAATCGACACAATTGCAATTTGGCCCGTTTTTATTCATAAACTTCCTTTTATAACAGAGATAAGTAGGATGTCTTTGTTAGCTTTGCATCATGGCACAAAAGTCTTGTTAAAGTCTAAAGTTACACAGGTTATATATTTCTTTCTTCAGTTCACGTGATATAGCACGCGGTTAACAGGCTCGTAGTAAAGCAGTGGCAAAGACCTCTACAAAGTGTTATCGAAAAGGGGATAGTGGATAGAGGAGTAAGAGGGCAGTAATATTTTTTCTTTATCAAAGTGTGCTTGAATTCGCTATATTTTTAATTAAGTAGTAGAGAGATATCAGCATTTAATATGTCACGTGAAATCTATTTAGTTCTTCAAATCTTTGAACATGGACAAAAAAGTGGAACAGTATTCTGTGTAGAAAGATGAGTCATAGTTCACGAACAGAGAGTAAAAAATGATTGGTTTATGGTAAATATCATAAGTCTGTATCGATAAAATAAATAATTGATAGGTACATTATGGAATTAGAAATTAAGTAGAGTCACTAATGCATGCGAATCATTTACATTAATTACGTTTTAAAAAAAATGTTTTAAAAGAAACTAATGAAATTGATATGACTCATTAAATGATATCCCCTTAATGTATATGTTGCTGTTATATTGAAATATATATTCATAATTTTCTAAGCCCGTTAAATTCCTGTATTCCTAAATTTCTACATTTTCTTATAAAACAAAAACAGAGAAAAGAAAGTAAATCGGATGATGGAATTAGAAACGCTATAAAAAATTGATTATAATCTTAAATCGAGAAACAGAAATTACATATCAGATACTAAACTAAATTTATTACATAATATACATTTATATTAACATGTAGATTGTTGTTTAACAAGGTATCCGCGTTCATCGTCTATACGTAAATTCGCCACTGAATAACACAAATGGAATATTATTATTTTATTTTATTATTTTATTATTATTTTTTTTATACGATGCATCTTTTAAATTGAAAATTGAAAGAACAAACGTGTACGGTTTTCATCGCAAGTGATTGTACGTATTACTGCACCAGTGTATCGATTCTTCGCGTCACTCGGTCGAATTATAGCGCTAAACGATTCCACGCTTGTTTATCGGTACCGATAATGAAATATATTATATAAATAAGAACCCGAAAGGTTAACATGTGACAACTGCATGTACACGAATCGCGCAGGACGTTAAATTTCACGCTATGGATCCTGTCATTCAATGAAATATCTGCAATTCATAGAAGAAAAGCAGAATATTCGCGATAGAAGTAACGCCGGTCAATTCTAATGCGCATGCGTACTAAAAATGTGAACTGTGATTGGTCGACACCACATGGTCTGATGTCAGACCATAGGGTCTGTCCAATTCAATAATAACGAGATGTTCAGAAGCTAGATGCTAGCCAGTTCTCTGTGTCGTGACCGTGACGCTTCTATCGGGTTATTAACGTTAAGAAACCGCACGTCGAAGAGCATCGAATTCAACGAACACCGACATCAGTTTATATTTAATATTGTACACGTTTTGTTGTTTTTTCAATACCGAAATTGCTGACTGGTTGGCAAGGTTCGATTCAATTCATTAAACGTCAACTTTTTGATGGTGTACAACTATCAGTTACAGAAAATTTCGAGACCAAAAAGGAAACACAGGTTCACGACATTTGTCAGGATTATATCCACGTGTGAGGTGAGTTACAACGTAACATTTTATAATTAAATTACATACATCCTTTTGTACACGAAATCGTCTAATTTATTTTAGATGTTTCGTAAACTGTTTGATGACACGATTATAAAAATGTAACGTTTTATTTGTAATAACGTCAATATTTGTTTTCTTCATCAACCTGTATCTTTTTGTAAATAATATTCATTCAATTTCTAGAAACGAACGAACGTTATATTTTCTAAAGGAACTGCAAACGGCTTCCTTGGCATTATCATTTTATAGTCTCTAAAATCAATTGTATTAATAGCTGCTATATTCTGTCATAAAATAGGTATATTTCTAACAAGTTACCAAAGAAACCTTTTAGCGGCGAACGATCGTGATTTCACGTGTTCTGCCTTACTGTAAACATACCATTTACATCAGTGAAAGACCTCGAAATGTATTACAGTTATCGGGAAATTTAGTCAAACGAAACTTTCATGCATCGTTTACGCTTTAAATTACTCGTTTGTGTTACAGATCGGTGACGTGAAAGTTTTGTTTAAGAAAGAAATCTTGATTTATTCTTCCTATTGTACGAGCGCATGACCTGCGTAATATATACGATACAATAACTATATTTTTTTATCATTACAAAATATCAGAACATCGTGCCACGTGCAACGAGATACTACTCAAAAATATGCACACGACTGCGTATTTTTCTTTTGATACAAATTAAAGGCATGTGTAATTTCAGAACATTTAAAGTCTGACTTGTGAAAACTGTTACTACTGCGTTGCATAGTCAGCATGTTTATGCACTGGCAACAGTAGTCTTATTTATCTATTTTCCGACACATTTTCCCGTGTTTGCTAACATTTATGGTTCAAATATCATTTATGTAATTTAGTTGTTTTTGCTAGTGTAATAATGTGCTTAATAGACATTCGCGGGAAAAATGGTAGCATTATAGTTCCAAACGATAATATTTTATTGGGGAGTTTTCAGAATTATAGATGTTCAAATTTTGAATTAAAGAATTTGCAAATTTGGAAATTAAGAAATTTGAAGGTAAATTAGTCGAGATTTCGTTTTATATTTATCTAGAAAAAAAACTACACTACAACCAGATTATGTTGCATTAACGTGTTATTAAAAATTTTATTGTAATTTAATCGTTTTGCATACACGACTTCCATATAATTTATTATGTATTCCTGCAATCATTTTTTTCTTCTAACAACCATTAATTAGTATTCACAGTAAAAACTACAAATTACAATTTTAAGGCAAAATGGAAATTTTACTTCACCCTTTCCTCTCTCAGCTTTTCTAATGCAGTACATAACAAATGATGATTAATTTGTTTTATTTCTAATAAATAATAAATGCAATTTATATTTAAATTAAAAAATAATACCTAGGAACTTATTCCTATTTTAATTGAAATATAATTTTCAAATGTAGATATAATGGCTCAATACTATTCAAATTTTGCCAATGGAGAATAAATTAACGGTCGTACAAGGTATCTCGTTTGACATTCTAGAAGCAAATGTCAAGAATCAGCATCAATTTTAATAGTAAACTAGCAAAACTTGTCTGTATGTATTCGAACGTTTGTTTTGTGCGTATCTACGTCGTAAGACACGTGATCGAATCATGAACCTAGGTAACGCTGTGTGGTGAATTCTTTTTCTGTCGTTTTTTTCCTTCCGCCATATTTTTAATATGATGAAATTACTCGATCCACGTGTCGAACATGTATACGCTTTTTTCATGATAAGCTATCGATACTAATGAAGGTTAAAAGTGAAAAGTGTCTTTTTTTCTTTGGGGTCAAAAGTTGTAGTTTATTTATAATATTTTTTTTCATTTAACAGTAATTCAACTAATCAGGTTAAATTACTTTTGTGTTATGTAATGTGTAAAACAACACTTGATGATCAATTCTAGAAAGAAAAAATATTAACCACGTGCAATTGTTGACAAGAATTCAATGAAGTTTTTGCTTTCCGTGATTTTATTTATGATCACAATCGTATTTATTTATCGATTGCATAATGGAATTAAGTAGTATGCAAATGGAATTAAAAAGCATTTTCAAGTAGTTAGCGGTTAATAAGTTATGTGGCACATTGTATGCATATGTGCGTGCAACGTGTATAAATTAATTTTTTGATAACCTGTGATACCATTTGGCCAATTTATATTAATGCAATTAATGACTCGATTTTTAGAAGTGAACTAAGAGTCACGGACTTTACAACAATTCAATTAACGTTATCATTTTTATAAATACTTTTTAATTTTTTATTCGCATTTTATGTTATTTATATTAGAATGTTTATTATCTCTTAAAAGTTTGTCGTAATATATGGAAGTTTATCTCGTATAAACATTTTCTTATCTCTTTACTAGTAACAATCATTGGCGTAACTAGCCAGAGCCCACAAAAGTGTCGACCTTCGGCAAAAAAATACTGCTTGGACGTGAAGGATGTCTCATATATTTTATGTTATAAATTTTAAACATCTCAAATTTTGAAATTTTCGAATCTCATTTCTACATTTCCAAATTCTTAATTTTCTAGTCATTCCTAGTGTAAGGCATGTCTGTGGTATTCTCAGAAAAAAATCGCAGTTACGCTAATGGTAATATCTAATGGAACTATCATTTTCGATAAAATGTTTACGACGTTATTAATCATAGCTTGTGGGCATAAAATTAAAGAAATCTTTAAGATATAATGTAAAAGGTATTACGGGTCGAAGTTTTCTTGGCAAAAATTAGATAAACAAAAAATGTATGAACTGATATGACATTTGACATTATCGCAGACGACAAAAAATGTGCATGCGCGTGACATATATCTACGAAAAAAAAGAACGTTTAAAAGATAACCTCGAAATAGGAGTACGAAATATTCTCCTTGATACGTGACACGAAGCCACGCGATGAAGTCCATCATTTTTACGAGGAATGTGAAGATGTTACGCACGAAGTATAAAAGCTTACATCGTTAATTTATTTGAACAGACATTAACGTATGGAAACTATGCAGCGAATGTCACCTGATACTTTATTCACGATATACATGTCACAATCGTTGCTTACCACTACATGAAAGATTCCTAATTTATGTAAATAATTCATAACGTTGATTTTATACTACATACATTATATATTACATATTGAATATGTACGTGATTCTATTTTTAAAATTGAAATTCAAATGATAATACATTTACATTTAACAAAAAGTTATGTTTATCTGTCATAATTAACTATATAGATATACATATAGACTAAACAGATTAAAATCTGTTTCGTAATTATTTAAAATTTGAGTTATAAGGTAATGAATATTTATAATCTTATAAGAATGCTAACACGGGGTTCATAATTGACTTTATTTTTGCATTACCTGTTGCGATAGAAGTACACGTGTTTTCTGCTGTTTAAGATAAGATTTCCGCCAAAAATTTGAAATATTCTATATACTTCTGAATACTGGAAGTTTCGTACGAAATGAGCTTGCTCAACAGGTCCTATAGCGACAGTAATGGTATAACATATCATTAACTATTTTTAAAATAGTGTATTATTAATTATTTTTCTATTAATGACTTCGAGAAAAAAAATAAAAAGAGTTGGTATAGGAATATGTTCAGACATGTTATTTCAGATAATATACGTTATTTGAGAAAAAAGCCAGTCTATTATGATTTTTTATTAATCGCGTTGTTATTCATATTAGTCTACCTCTTTTTAAACAGCTTGTATGAGTAGCAAAAGAAATTTCGACTTTTTTTGTAATGCGAATCATAACCTCTGACGCAACGACAAGGTGTCAAGTGAATGTAAATTATAATGAAGCAACGTTGTGAATGACGTTCAGGTGTTAATTCCTTTAATTTACCTTTAATTCATGAGTGATTCTATTCTTCGGGTGTCACGCGATTGGTAAGGTTATACATTTGACCATGAATTTCCTCGTTAGGACGTCAGTGAAGTTTCTACGCAAACTCTAATACACGATACTGTAAAAAAAGGAGAAAAGAAGTTAAGAGGATCGTACGATATCGACGGCTATTACTCATGACTTGGAAATTACGAATTATAAATGATTTATGTCAATGATGTGATGTAAGAGCTTGAATATGTGATATCGCGATTAAACTTATTTCATAATTTGTGGGAGAGAGAGTGTCAGGTCAACGGCATATCTTGAGTGTATTATTACATTTTGATAAAACAAACAAATAATCGCGATATCATGGAGAACAAATTTTTAATACATACATAATCATCCAAACATTTCACATATTTAAATTTCGCGACGTACGTTTGATTGACGTACTTGGATCGTACGTGGATCGCGTAACGTGTATTTACTGATGCATTTGAAGTTCGCGGTGCTACTGACAGCAGTAAATAATATCGAACAAGGATTATTTTAAAACCTGTTCTACCAACAGTGTAAATTTATTTTAATTTTGATTCATTTTATTAATACAAATTGATATTCTACTCACGTTTGATTCTACTTCACTCGCTTTTTCGCTTCAGTCATATCTGAACGATGTTATCGATATATCGCGTTATCTACAGTTATCGATATTGACTCGAACTCGGTGACAGCTCGAATATTCAAATTTGTATGGTACTAAAAATACGTATTCATACGAATTAAAAAGAAATATACATTTTTATGGGGAATATTAATAAAAGTGTGGGGTAGAGGTGACGAATGAATCTTGACACGCACGATAAAGTCACTGGTAAATTGATTTATCTCGCAGTGAATCCAATTGAAATCACTCAATTAATCGTATCTCGAGAAGAGGTAGCCACCGTAGTTATCTAACACAATTTGCTGACATGTATAACGCGTATAATAGGACTATTTGGTTTTCGTCGGCCTATATTTACGAAATTATAACTATAATTAACAAATATTACTGCTATATTAAAAATCTGAATTTTTCATTTTCAGCTTACAGTCCACTAAGCTCCCACGTCAGATAAATTTTGTACATATAGTTAACCATAATGCCAGCTCAATTTGAAAGTGCAAACAGTCCCATAACAAGAGAGCCCACCATGATGAACGGCGATAGTCCATACACCACCGACGATGACATTGTCATCAGTGGTATCTCTGGTAAGAAATTATATATTTTAAATTGTTCGGAACTTCGTACACACACAGATATATTAATACTTGTTTTTCTCAATAATTTCTAGGCCGTTTCCCAGAGTCGTCAGATGTAGATGAATTTAGGAAAAATTTATTCGATGGAGTAGATATGGTCACAGACGATGAACGTCGATGGACTTCCGGTATTTATGGCCTTCCCAAAAGGTCAGGCAAACTTAAGGACATTTCATCGTTCGACGCTACCTTTTTCGGTGTACATGCAAAACAGGCCCATGTAATGGACCCACAACTGCGTATACTTCTGGAAACGACATACGAAGCGATAGTCGATGCTGGTTATAATCCAAATGACCTTAGAGGCTCTAAAGTTGGTGTATTCATCGGTGTTTCGTCTTCGGAGTCGGACGAATATTGGTCTTATGATCCAGAACAAGTTAACGGTTCGTAAATTAATCGTGAAGTAACTAGGAGACTCTTAGGAAATTCCTAGTTACGTCAGTATACGAATATCTAAAGCTATAGTAACGTTATCATCATCATCTAACAAATATATATATTTTCAGGATACGCGTTAACTGGATGCTGTAGAGCTATGTTTTCAAACAGAATTTCCTATACGTTCGATTTCACCGGGCCAAGTTTCGCACTCGATACAGCATGTTCTTCGTCCTTGTACGCGATGCACCAAGCAGTTGCTTTGATTCGTGCTGGCGAATGTGAGGCAGCAATTGTCGGTGGTTGTAATATACTTCTGAAGCCAACAGCTTCCCTTCAATTTCATAGATTGAGTATGTTGTCTGCTGATGGTACTTGCAGAGCCTTTGACGCTGACGGCAAAGGATACGTTAGATCCGAAGCTATTGGTGTTATTTTCCTACAAAAATCAAAGGACGCCCGTAGGGTGTATGCCACAGTGGTACATTCCAAAACGAACATTGATGGCAATAAAATTCAGGGAATCACATTCCCCAGCGGCGTTATGCAAAACAAGCTAATGCGTGAAGTTTACTCAGAATCTGGAATTAATCCTGCGGACGTTGTGTACGTGGAAGCGCACGGAACTGGTACAAAGGTCGGAGATCCACAGGAAATTAATTCCATCGCGAAATTATTCTGTAAAGGTAGAAAGACTCCTTTGTTACTCGGTTCGGTCAAGTCTAACATGGGTCACGCAGAACCGGCTAGCGGAATCTGTTCCCTAGTAAAACTATTGATTGCTATGGAAACCGGTGTGATCCCAGGCAATCTGCATTTCAAGACTCCAAACAGAGACATTGCCGCGTTAAATGATGGTAGGATACAAGTTATAGATAAGAATACACCATGGAAAGGTGGACTTACAGCAGTTAATTCGTTCGGTTTTGGTGGAGCAAATGCTCATGTTGTTCTCCGTAGTAATCCTAAACCAAAGTTGTCGCCAGTCTTAGATAGTAAATTACCGAAACTCGTTACTGTGTCCGGTCGCACTGAGGAAGCTGTGGAAGTGCTTCTACAGAAAGTCAAAGAACACGAGAAAGACGATGAGTTAATTGCTCTTCTTCATGATACTTACGCGAATAATGTATCAGGCCATCTTTACAGAGGATACTCTGTTCTCGGAAACGTTAACAGCCAGGAAATAAATGCATTTTCTGGGGAAAAACGTCCCATATGGTACGCATTTTCTGGTATGGGTTCACAATGGCCAGGCATGGGTAGAGAGTTGCTCGGGATCGAGACTTTCCAGCGAAGTTTGCAAAGGTGTGCCGACGCTTTGAAACCGGAAGGAATCGACCTGATGTATTTAATTCAACACGGAACAGCCGAAACTTTCTCGAACGTTGTACACAGTTTCGTATCAATAGCTGCTATCCAAGTTGCGCTTGTCGACGTATTGTCGCATCTAGGCGTTCAACCTGACGGTATCATTGGTCACTCCGTCGGTGAGTTAGGATGTGCTTACGCAGACGGTACTTTCACACCGGAGCAGACAGTTTTGGCTGCCTACTGGAGAGGAAGGAAGATCCTGGACTCGAAGTTGGAACCTGGAGCCATGGCTGCAGTAGGATTAACTTGGGAGGAAGCCAAAGCACGAGTCCCACCCAATATCGTAGCAGCTTGCAACAACTCCAAAGATTCTGTAACCATTTCTGGGCCAGTCGATGCCATCCATAAGTTCGCCGAGGAATTGAAGCGAGAGAATATCTTTGCAAAAGTGGTAGATAGTTCTGGTGTTGCGTTCCACAGCAAGTATGTGGCACCAGCTGCCCAGGAATTGCGCATTGTATTGGAGAAGATAATAACGAATCCAAAACAAAGATCCTCCCGGTGGATCTCCACATCTATACCTGAAGAGGCTTGGGGCACACCGTTGGCGCAACTCAGTTCTCCGGCCTATCATGTTAACAATTTGCTGTCCCCTGTTCTTTTCAATCAAGGACTTTCTCACATTCCGGAAAATGCAATAGTAATTGAAATTGCTCCCCATTGTCTGCTGCAAGCGATTCTGCGTAGATCACTGGCACCAACTGTGACTAACATTGGCTTGCATAAGCGAGATCATTCAAACAATTTGGGCTTCTTGCTAGAGAATATAGGAAAATTGTATGTAGCAGGTGGACAGCCTAAAGTATCCAAGTTGTACCCACCTATTAGTTATCCAGTTGGACGTAGCACACCTATGCTCAGTTCCCTGGTTAAATGGGATCATTCCACTGAATGGAGCGTGGCTGATTTCCGTGCGAAATCTGGAGGCTCCGGAGAAAGTGTCATCAAAGTCGATCTATCCAAGGAATCAGACGCCTATCTAGCTGGCCACACCATCGATGGAAGAATTCTTTTCCCGGCTACCGGTTACTTGGTATTGGTATGGAAAACTTTCGCAAAGTTGCAGAATATCGATTATGAACAGATGCCGGTGGTATTCGAGAATGTGAAATTCATGCAAGCTACCATCATGCCTCTGGAAGGCGAGGTGAAGTTCGCAGTTAACATTTTCATGGGTACCGGAGATTTTGAGATCTGTGAAAACGATTTTGCAATCGTGACAGGGAAAATATCTGTCCCAGAAAATCCCGACAAAATGTTATTGAATATTCCTCCGCGTGTCTTCAAGAATGAACCCGAATTACTAGAACTGACCAAAGAGGATGTTTACAAAGAACTTAGATTAAGAGGATACGATTACAGCGGAGTTTTCCAGGGAATCAAGTGCGCTCACAACCGTGGTGGTATCGGTAAACTTTTGTGGAACGATTGGATCTCATTCCTCGACACCATGCTTCAGTTCACACTTTTGGAGAAAGACTCCAGAGGATTATATGTACCAGTCCGTTTGCAGTATGTAGCTATTAACCCCACGGCTCATTTGGAATATGTTAAGAACCACAAAGATGAGGGTGTACCTGTTTATTCTTATTCAAACGTAGATGTTACCAAATCAGGTGGAGTTGAAATTAGGAAAATGAAAGCTTCTCTGATTGCAAAGAAGCAACAATCTCAGTCACCCAAATATGATAGACATACGTTTGTGCCTTATGAAAATGCTCAGCCATTTTCACAGGATCCTGATAGATCTAAGGTACATGCCCTTACCGCTTTATTACAAGTTGTTAATGAAAATATGCTTGGACTGAAGATTAAAGCCGCTGAAGTGGCTGGAAATCGTCCCGTGGATGCTCTTCTCACGCCCACTGTATTGGATGTACTTTGTTATGAACCACTGCGTATTGTAAGTGTTATAATTATCATTTCAAACGTTAAAAAATATTTAGCAAAATGATATTTCATTAATTTTGTTTCTTATTTTTTGTAGGTTGATATGCAATTGGTGTCAACCTCTCCAGCACAATACGGCAGTTTAGCAGAATTGAGCGTCAAGGTTGTGCCCCGTAATGAAAATGCTGAACCAGTTGGTCAGGATTTACATTTGGTTGTAGCGGCTAACGTATTATCTAATAAATCACTGAACGTGTTGTCGAATTTGACAAATAGTGTAAAGGCTGGTGGATTTGTCTTGTTGGAAGAGTCCAGTCAATTTGACGTTAACCTAGTAAAAGATCCAAATCTAGTGTTTGTTGGTAAACAAGCCGTACTTGGAAAACTATATTTGTTATTTAAGAAGAAAGAACCAGCAGTGGAACCGATCGTTGTACATATAACCGAAAAGAATTTCTCGTGGCTCAGTAGTGCAAAAGCAGCTTTGACAAAGGCTGTAGCTGAAAACAAGGAAGTTATTTTCGTTAGTCAAGGTGAAGAACTACTTGGTAAGTATCGAAGGTATTAAATGTTATAAAATATAACATATAGACTGCTAAAATATAGACACTACGTAATTAGAATATTTACTTGAGTTGTGCTAGGTTTTTCAATTAACTTAAATAGCTCCTGTTAATTTGAAAATTGTAGTTTAGACTATAATAATTCTTATGTACATTGTTATTTGTCTTTAGGTATGACTGGATTTATGAATTGCGTTCGTCGTGAAGAGGAGGGCTCGCATGCACGTTACGTGTTCATTCTAGACAAAAATGCACCCAAATTTAGCTTAACCGATAAATTCTACGCACAGCAATTGAGCAAACAGTTAATGGCTAACGTTCTGAAAGGAGGAAGTTGGGGAAGCTATCGTCATTTGCGATTAGATCAACAGAAAGATGCATCATCTCTTCAAGTTGAACATGCATACATCAATGCGTTGGCGAGAGGTGACTTAAGTAGTCTGCGATGGATCGAAAGTTCATTGAGCTACTATCAACCACAAAGATTCCCCAACACAGAATTTTGCTATGTGTATTATGCACCATTGAACTTCAGGTAAATTTCATTTCGGACGGCCTCCACCATTTATAAATCACTGTATAATAGTAAACATGACTGTATCATGTCTCATTTAATGCCAACAGGGACGTTATGCTGGCAACCGGAAAATTACCACCGGACGCTCTTCCTGGAAATTTGGCAAATCAAGACTGTATATTGGGTCTAGAATTTTCTGGTCGCAATTCGAAAGGTCAACGAATCATGGCTATGGTGCCGGCGCGTGGTATGGCAACCACTGTAGTGGCTGATCCAGGATTTATGTGGGAAGTACCTGACAAATGGACATTAGAACAAGCAGCCACGATTCCAGTAGCCTATGCAACAAGTTACTATGCTCTTTGCGTCCGAGGTGGTCTAAAACCTGGCGACTCTGTTTTAATTCACGCTGGTACTGGAGGTGTTGGACAAGCTAGTATCTCTATAGCTTTGCACGCGGGTTGCACGGTATTTACAACCGTTGGAACCCAGGAGAAACGAGATTTCTTGAAGAAGATGTTCCCTCAGTTGACCGATAAAAATATTGGCAATTCTCGAGACACCAGCTTCGAACAATTGGTGCTCAGCGAGACCAATGGCCGCGGTGTTGACATAGTTCTTAACTCATTGGCCGAAGAAAAGTTGCAAGCTAGTGTAAGATGCCTCGCAGTTGGTGGTCGTTTCCTTGAAATTGGAAAGTTTGATTTGTCAAACGACGCTGCTCTTGGAATGTCCGTATTTTTGAAGAATGTTTCCTTCCATGGAATACTGCTGGATGCTATATGTGAGACTGATAATGATGAAAGAAAACAAGTGACTAAACTAGTCAGTGAAGGTATAAAGAATGGAGCTGTGCGTCCTCTTCCGTCGACAGTCTTCTCAGAACAACAGATTGAACAGGCGTTTAGGTTCATGGCTACCGGTAAACACATTGGTAAGGTGCTTCTGAAAATTCGAGAAGAGGAGAAACAGAAGGTCGCGCAACCATCGCCAAAGGTAGTCGCAGCCATTCCAAGGATCTACATGAATCCAGAAAAGTCGTACGTGTTAGTCGGTGGTCTTGGTGGATTTGGTTTAGAACTCGCTGACTGGATGATTACCCGAGGTGCCAAGTACTTAATTCTAACCTCGAGGTCTGGAGTTCGTACAGGGTTCCAGTCACTGTGCATTCGTCGCTGGCGAGAAATGGGTGTGCACGTCACAGTTTCCACCGCTGATGTGACGACAATGGCTGGAGCAAAACAACTCATCCAACAAAGTAATAAGATTGCTCCAGTTGGTGGTATATTCAACTTGGCGGCCGTTTTACGTGACGAACTTCTTCAAAATCTTGAAGAAAGTGATTTTGTAACGGCGACACTGCCCAAGGTAGCTGGAACTAAATGTCTGGATGCTGTATCTCGCGAATTATGTTCTGCGTTGGATTACTTCGTTGCCTTCTCGTCAATCACCAGTGGAAGAGGAAACCTAGGTCAGTCAAATTATGGTCTTGCAAATTCTGCCATGGAGAGAATAATGGAGCAAAGACAAGCGAACGGTTTACCTGGTCTGGCCATTCAGTGGGGAGCTATTGGTGATGTCGGTTTAGTTATAGGTACGTTGTATATTCTATGAATTTGTTGAATACTAGATCTATATATCTCTGTTCTAATATTATTCATATCAATTTTATTTGATTATAAATATTACATTGTTTCATTATCCTTTTTCAGAAAATATGATGGGTAGTAACGATACTGAAGTAGGTGGTACTCTGCCCCAACGTATACAGAATTGTCTCGAAACGATGGACGTATTCCTTCAACAGCCGCATCCTGTTTTAAGTTCCTTTGTGTCAACAGAAAAACACAAGGGCGCAGATAACGCGAATAAGATTAGCATCGTCCAAGCGGTTGCTAATATCCTAGGAATCAAGAAAGTAGAATCCATCAATCCTGCTATTTCTTTGGCTGATCTTGGAATGGATTCTCTTATGGGAACTGAAATTAAACAGACCCTCGAAAGAAACTACGATATATCAATGTCAGCACAAGAAATTCGTACATTGACGTTTAAGAAGTTAAAGAAATTCGATAAGTGTCCGAGCGAATCATCGTCGCGCGCCACTTCTCCAGAGCCGCAAAATGCTGAGGCAGATGGCTTCCTATTCCAACTTGAAAATGTAAACATTGTACCTACTGAGTCCATCGTGCAACTACAGACGAAGAGCTCTAAGGGTTCACCTATATTCTTCATTCACGCTATTGAAGGAATAGCAGCCCCCTTCAAAGAAGTGGCTAGTCAACTGAATCAACCTGCCTATGCCCTGCAATGTGTTGAAAATACTCCACTTGGTTCTATACAAGACACAGCAGCGTTCTATATTCAGAAAATACAACAGATTCAAAAGAAGGGACCATATCACATAAGTGGATACTCGTTTGGAGCCTGCATCGCGTTTGAAATAGGAATTCAATTACAGAAAGCTCAACAAGATGTAGTTATTACGTTCATCGATGGATCTCCAGACTTTGTAAGGTTACATTGCATACACGTTGGAAAACAAACTGGACGGCCAGAAGATGCAGTTAAGGATGGCTTTAGAAAGGCTGTATCATACTTTATCGGACAATTTAATACCAAGATTAGTTACCTTGAGGTACATATACATACATGTACATTTGAGTGCAATGTAGATATCCTGATAGTAACGTTCTGTAATGTTTATTTTTTCTTTTTCTTTTTCTAGGGATATCTTGCCTTGAAAGGCTTGTCTTCTGATGACGAAGTTTTAAATAAAATGGTGGAATTAGTAAATAAGCCACAGATAAAGCCTAGCGACCTAAAGGTTGCTAGTATCTTATTGTACAAAAAGTTGATGGCAGCTTTTGCTTACAAACCATCTGAAACGTTCAATAAGGACGTTACATTAATAACAGCCAAAGACAACTTTGTTCCTTTGGAAAACGACTACGGTTTATCAAAGGTGATTCTCTTATATTATATTAAAAACATACGTATTGAAAATATAACTTAACATTATTTTAATCTATCTTTATGTGTTTAATTTTATTACAGGTCTGTAAAAAGAATGTGCAAATACGGGAATTGCCAGGAAATCACAGAAGCATTTTAGTGGGAGATAGCGCATTAGAGATTGCAACCATTCTACAAACGTAAATTTATCTCGAATTTATAAATAATGTAAAATATAAGAAAATAATCTGTAACATTTATATCATTATTTAAATGTACATAAATGTTACACAGAAACGTTCCACAAAGTTTTAATGTACAATGATATTAATAGTAATCATCGAAACTTAATATTTAATATTTAATATTTAATATGATTTCTACATAATCTTCTGTAAAGTTCCTTTTGTACAAATGTTTCTGCCTTCAGGTTTCTACTCGCATTGTTTATATCATCTGCATTATTAAATTATGAAACCGTTTTCTCCACTTTTTAATTATAAATATCTTAAAGTTGGTAAAATGAGAGAAGTATATCAAAACAAAATAAAATAGCTTTAGTGTTTTTGTATTTTGTAGTCTATAATAGTTTCAAGTACACTACAAATGGGTATTACTATAAATATTTAGCAGATCTTAAATATAAATATTCAAATTAAGTTAAATTTAAATTCTAGAAATATTTACTACAGGTCTCTGTAATGATTTCTGGTGGACAATTAATCATTACTCAGACATATAGTATATATATGCATTTTGTGAAATGTTATTTTGCATCTAGATTTCTGGGAAACCATGACATTTTACACACAGAAAATATGTACAAAACTGTATTTAACAAAAAAATATAAAGAAGCAAGAGGTATTTTACAATTTTTTCATTCTTAATTTTTTTTACACATTTTTAATGGTGTATTCAAACAAGAGGGTATAACATTCCAGTGATAAATAGTAATATATATTCTATATATATGTATTTATACAGCTTCACAATTTATTGCACACAACATACTTAATGCTTTATCGAAAGCAACCATTTATACTATTTTTTCATTAGAAATAAAAAATCAATTTGTTAAATAATAAATATGTACATGTTCATAATTTGACTTATCATATTAATTTGATTGTCATTAAGTACATATAGTGTAAACTTGTTAAGTGTTATGTTTCATGTACGTTCTTGTATTATATTGATAAATGAATAAAGAACATCAAATAAATTATTGACTAACCCATATATTTTATCACCATTTTTTATTACAACAGATTTAATTTTAATGTAAATACAAGTTTATGTATATAATTATAATAGATCATAACATCACAATAAAACAACAGTATACAATACTATGTAGTACTTTCTATTTTTGAAGTAAAATATTTTATATACAGAAATATTCTTAAAAACTAAATGGAATGTTTATGTATTTTTTTTATTTATAAAGTAAATTTATTTTTCCTGCTTTATTCGATGATTAGGATCAGAAATTGCAGCATTTGAATCACACGTGAAAGATACAGTTAACGCATAACGAACTCCGGACTGTACTTTTTCAACCGCGTGTAAATTTTCACTACCAGACGTGAACATAGATACTCTACCTATATGATAACAACGAAATGAAGTATTTCAAACATTTCTTTTATATTGATTTAATTTTTTATTTACCTTTACGAGGTTCTATTGTTGTATTAACATTATCTTTATCAATGAATATAAATCGACCTCCTTCGAAATCTCTTCCAAAATCGTTTAAGTAAAGCAAACTTGTATAATGGAACGATTTATACGTTTCCTATATAATATAATACTTTTAAAAATGAAATCCTGTTAATAATTTGATTAGTAAAAATTAATATGTATACCTTGTCAACATGAGGATGCCAATATTCATCATGAATTGTTTTTGCAGATGCATTAGTCATTCTTGAAAAGAATGTTGGTTTTGTTAAAAATATTTTATTAGCAGGAACACCAAAATTATGTGCCACTGCATGTTGTATTTTAGTTCTTACTACTCTAAAAATATAAAATATAGTATAATTACAAAATAAACATAATTATTTACATTAATATAGTAAATTTATGTACTTGTAAATTGCAAAATCAGCACTATTAAATATAGTTTTAGCTTCAGATAGAGTATAGATGTTAATAAAATCACGACCTTTACTCAATGCACCTGAGTGAAGATCTAAAATACTTGCACCTCCATCAGAACCACCTAAACTTATACCAGTTTCTGCTATTTTTAACAATACATCAGTTTCTGTTGATGAGACTAGTTTATCTGAAACTATCCTTCCACATTTCTCTGGTACACATTCATGATATTTACTTGTTTCAGCCTTATAATCATTCGAACATTCAACATTTTGTGTACGACTTAACAGAACCTCCTTTTGTTTCGCTAAGTAGACTTCTTTACCCCACTTACTATTATACCAAACTATAAATAATACTGCAAGTATTAGAGCAGAGCGTGACCATATCCTTTGGTAAGGAAACGTTACAAAAGGGCCATACTTTCTGTAAAATAACAAATTTCTTAAAGTTAATAATTAATGTTATAAAATACATAACAATCTAAATTACTTGTAAACAACATTTACAGTTAAAATTTTTTAAACGAATAAATTGTTATTTAACTTTCTAAATAAAGAATTCATAAATATATGAGAACACAGATAACCTATAGAATAGTATATATAATACAATATATTTATAATACATACAATTTGACATTTTCATTTGAACATTTTTTCGTATTTTCTTCAGATTTCTCTTCTTTATGACTCGACTTTTCTTTCGTCACCTGCTTCTTTTTCCCCTTTTTAGTTTCTTGTGACATTTTTTTAAATAATACAATTACTGAACTTACACCAACGCTTCTCAAATTCGATACATAGGGCGCGTACTGGCATCAACCGAGTGCAATGTGGTAATGTTGTGGTTACAATCTCTCACTTACAGCTGTCTCAATTGTTTAATAATAAATAACACTTAACGAAGTAAAAATAACAAAATACAAATGTAGGAAGAATCAAGATTCAGGATTCTTTTCGTACCTTCAAACGATCACGTCTCGTAACATCCTCCACTATTCTGTCTTCCTGCTACAAGGAACAGATCCAGTAATAGAATTATATTCGAAATTAGTAACTACATCGATTACTTCCTTGAACATTCTTCTTTCCTATTATCAGCAGACGTATCTTTAATAAGAATACATAATAATTTCTAAAGTATGGCCTCTCCTATTGCTGTATGTTCCTGTTCATGAGGAAGCATTTTTGATAGAATTTCATAACTAGATCTGTTTGATTGAGGCGCTCCGCACCTAACCTAACAATGTTGAGCGAGCGAGTAAATTTCACGCTAAAGCAAAAATAGTCAACCATGTCATCCGGTTGAATTGGTTGAGTGGTGCAAGAGAAAAACGTGGACAAAAAAGTTGAAAAATCAAATACATAAGCGCGAGCAAATTCAATTTGGCATTAAAGTCTACGGGGATATAGTTTTTCGGTGATTATTCCTCCGTGGCATGCGCAGGCGGCGCGCAGGAGGAATATACACGATAATAAGTATGCAAAATCGTTAATTACTCACTTTCTAAGCACAGTCTATGAACTTTTATGATTAAAGAATGTTCAGTGATTCCCTAGCTACTTTCTCATATCACATATGTTCACATTTTTATTGTAAATAATTAGTTATTAATTAATAACCTAAGGCCAGCCACGGTGACAAGCGGTATGTACGAGGTCACTTTGAATAATTAATTACACGTTATGTGGATATATTTTGTGCACTTTTATGATTGAAGAATGGTCAGCAATGCATTATTTACATGGTTCGACCATAAAAGTTCATAAATCATGTTTGGGTAACGAGTAATTAATTATTTTGTGTCAGCATTCCAATACGTACATGAGCCATCTGTGCCAATTCTACTGCGCATGCAAAGTGCAATATTTCGGCACTTTGACGACGTAGTATGGTTCCTGAGGCATTTAGAAACAAATTTCTATTAGGGTTTGATGCGTTTTGATGCCTAATAAAGCCAGA